AATTCAACCGAACACAAAGGAGGAAACCTTAACATCAACATGGCGCATTCGAGTTTTTCCGATTTCTCGTGTTTCTTGGTGTTTTCACTGCACCTCAATATGAGGTCAGGTGGGAATTTCGAGAAAGGCAATAGGGTACTTCGGACAAAACCCAGACTGGAAGTCAGCGACAGAACGGGAGAAACAAAAGAGCGTCGGGAGGCTGTGCTGAGCGGTGGTGGGGGTCAAAATCGGCGGAGTGGGGGTGAAGGCGGCGCGCGCATCTCGATAAGTGTATCGCTGCTGGCAGGCGGAGCGCAGCGATGCGTCGGCTTCGAGAAGCAAGAAAAAGAAGCGTCGCAGGGGCAATGGGTCTCACATGATCAGACGCTGTTATTATATCATCTTCATCATTATTATTGTTATAATGCATGTTGGTCCTGGAAAGTGATTTAATCGTGTGCCCGAGCGGCGGGTGCTGGAGACGCGGAGGGGGGTGGGTAGGGGGGCCCCAAAAAAAAATCGAAGGTTTTCCGATTGTCCAATTCCGCTCAAAAATCGATTCTAGACCGAAAAACAATAACCCTATTTTTGCGTTTTGTCCTGAGACGATTTTGAATACCGGCTCAATAGCGAAAAGGGTTTTTTAACCCGTTTTGAGCCCCAAAAATTGTCATAACAATTACAGTTTTTATCGGTTTTTCAAAAACGATACGGCAAAATGTTCGGTTTTGGACGGCGAACAAATTACATTTTCACAAATTTTTTGTCAGACTTCGTCTCAGTATTCTGCTTGCGGTTTTCGCTCAATAAAACACACATGTTCACTATTTGGAGATAATTTTCTTGTTTCGGACGGCCGAGATGCGTCCCTATGCACTTTTCTATCTTACTTTATCCCAAAACAAAACCCACCACGTGAAATATAGCCGTGCAAGTCAATTTGCCTACCATCTAGGGGCAAGCATTTCGTTTTTTTCAGTATAAAGAAAAGTCTGTTGAGCTCTGAGGCCGCAATTTTCCTCCGATCCTCAAACCCGAGATGTCATTTTGTTCAGTTTTTCAAGACAAACAAAAATGATTCTGGTCATGTTTTTGTCAGACTGCGTGTTAAGGTCCGTTTCTGCTTGAAATGTGCAAAAATCGCCCCAAAATTTGAATTTTTTGCCCACTTTTGGACCGTTTTTCTGGTCAGCGATCCACGTGACCAGCCGATGATCACTCTTTTACCTTCCCTAGCCTTTCTGGAATGGCTGGGAAAAAGAAGAGCCAGGTCCTAGACACGAACGAACAGGTACAGGCATGATTTGGCGGGTCGTTTTGAATTTTTCTTTTTTAAAGAAGGATAAATGAGGCCAGCCCGGACGGTTTGGGGCTCGTGTGAATAGTTCAGTAAAAGTGGGAGTGTTGCAACCGATTTTGTCTAGTTCTGACCGGTATGGAGAAGTTGCGACAGGTTTGGACAAAAAAAACGGTCCAAAAGTGGGCAAATATAATCGAATTTGGGCGATTTTTGCACGTTACAAACAAAAAACCCGCCAAATCATGCCTGGACCTGTTCGTTCGTGTCTAGGACCTGGCTCTTCTTAATTCCAGCCATTCCAGAAAGGCTAGGGAAGGTTAAAGAGTGATCATCGGCTGGTCACGTGGATCGCTGACGAGAAAAACGGTCCAAAAGAGGGCAAAAAATTCGAATTTGGGCGATTTTTGCACGTTTCAAGCAGAAACGGACCTTTAAACGCAGTCTGACAAAAAAATGACCAGAATCGTTTTTGTTCGTCTTAACAAACTGAACAAGATGACATCTCGGGTTTGAGGATCAGAGGAAAATTGCGGCCTCAGAGCTCGACAGACTTTTCTTTATACTGAAAAAAACGAAATGCTTGCCCCTAGATGGTAGGCAAATTGATTTGCACGGTTATATTTCACGTGGTGGGTTTGTTTTGGGATAGGGTAAGATAAAAAAGTGGATAGGGACGCAACTCGACCGTCCGAAACAAGAAAATTATCTCCAAATAGTGAACAATATGTGTTTTATTGAGCGAAAACCGCAAGCAGAATACTGAAGACGAAGTCTGACCAAAAATTGGTGAAAATGTAATTTGTTCGCCGCCTAAAACCGAACATTTTGCCGTGTCGTTTTTGAAAATCCGATAAAAACTGTAATTGTTATGACAATTTTGGTGCTTAAAACGGGTTAAAAACCATTTACGCTATTGAGCCGGTATTCAAAATCGTCTCAGGACAAAACGCAAAAAATAGGGGTTATTGTTTTTCGGTCTAGAATCGATTTTTGAGCGGAATTGGACAATCGGAAAACCTTTGATTTTTTTTGGGCCACCCTACGGGTGGGGGGGGCGGGGAGGGGAGGTTAGTCGGCCATTTTGACCCCTCCAACATCCGCTCTTTCGTCACTGCCCGGCAGCTACCCAGCCGGCAGTGGTGCATCAGCAGACGACACACAACAGCTGACCCGTGCTCATTGGCGAGCGATAGCGAGCCCATGCCGTGTTTGGGCGCACCAAAAAGTGACTGGTCGTGAGTCTGTCTGTCTGTAACTCACTTTTCTCAGCAACTACAACACTAATTTTCCCCAAAATTTTTTGCACCGAACATCTCCTAAAGCTCCCACAGGGGGAGTTTATCTTATATTCACGATTACTATTGTTTGAAATATTCAAAACATCGTTTTGAATTAGGTTCTTAGCGTGGTTAGGTTGGCAGTGGTTGGCATCTCGCAGCAATTTTTCATACTTGCGGCCGCGGCTCTCAAATACGGGACTTGGCAAAACATTGGCAAATAAAACAAACTAAAGAGCAGAAGGGCTTAGAAGTGAGGACGGTCATATTTTTTCGATATTTTAGAATGATTGAAACCCCTTGGGAGTGTCAACTCAGTGAAATACGGAAAATGAAAGTGACAGTTATTACGCTTTTCGTCCGTCCGTCCGCCCCCCCCCTCCCCCGCTACACCGCTACAGGGCAAATTTTTTTAGTCAGTGGACTGTGTTTGATAATTGCAAGAATGTTTTGGTTTTTTAAAACCTTTGTGAGCCATTTATATTCCCAGACACTATATTTTTTAGTTGTTTGCTTTGCTCAATAACAGTTAAAAAAATATATTAATACATTCTATGAGTACAAACCAGATGCTAATCTTGCCAAAATAAATAGTCTTTGCTGACTCTGGCACTGATTCTGGGAAAAGGCTTCATTGCAATTCTGTGAGTTTACTATAGTACTAACCTTAAAAAAAAACCATATGATGAGTGAGTGTAGCGCATTCAAGGTTTGACATTGACATCAGATTCAATGAGACGATTCACTGACTTGGTCATATGAATTCATGAGACAATTTTTTTTTAACTTAATTATACATTGTCTGCGACAACTGGTAATTTGTGTTGGTCATGGTTTGAGTTGGCTCTCTTTTTTTTACTCAGAATGTTAGGTAAATACTTTTGCTAAACTGTTTCAAAGATTAAATAACACATCATGACTATCATTATGAATAAGATAAACTTGCGTTTAGCAATAAGTGGCCTCGACATAGGATTCTATGAAACGATTCAAGCCTGCCTGTAAATATGTCTCTCTTTGATTAATGCAGATAAATCAATATAGTTTAATCCACTAGTTTAAACTAAAAGGGAGAAAGGCTTTTTAGGTATTACTCATAACATTGCGTATTCATAAGTTCAGTAACAAGGAGATATCGAATGGTAATTGAAGTATTTGTGAATCGTATTAAGCAATTCAATGCTGGCTTTTAAATGTTACTCGACTGCGTAACAGGGTCAAGGTTCATGGCATGACACCATGAACAGGAAACACTTTTAAAAAAATCCTAAAAACTGAAGCCCCCCATATTTTCAATAGAATTACATGATTTAGGACCAAAATTTCCTCGGTGTTTCATTGCTTTCTGCAGTATTTGGTGTGCTGATCACAAAAAAGACTCCCAATTTCATCCCAGACCTTTCCTTTTCCAAATATTTACCAATTTCGGACCAAAATTTTTACATCGATTTTTACATGTTTCCTGCAGTTTTTGGTGTGCTCATCACGAAAATGATTTCCCAATTTCATCTCAGACCTTTACTTTTCAAATATTTACCAATTTCGGACCAAGATTTTTACATCAAGTTTTACATAGTTTCCTGCATTTTTTGGTGTGCTGAAAACGAAAATGACTTCCAATTTCATCTCAGCCCTTTTACTTTTCCAAATATTTACCAATTTCGGATCAAAAGTTTTACATCAAGTTTTACATAGTTTCCTGTAGTTTTTGGTGTGTGATCACGAAAATGACTTCCAATTTCATCCCAGATTTTTACTTTCCCCAAAATTTCCCAAATTTTGTGACCAAAATTTCAAAATTGAGTTTCACATTGTTTCCTGCATTTTCAGTAAGATGATCGCGGAAATGACAAAAATTTCCCGGCCCTTTCATTACGGAAGACCCTATATTGGCCTTACTTTGCATATATTTTTTCACCATTTCTACAAAAATACAGACGCATCGCTCGCCTACTACGCGCCCAAACAAAACGGCGCGTCCCCCTAGTGTTTACAATGCGTTGCTTCTTAGCTCTTCCTTACAACTGCCGTGGACTAACTGCGACAGGGAGAAAGTTTGCAGAGAAGTGTGGCGGGCGATTTTTGTGGGTGGCCAACATTTGTCACGTTCAGATATTTATGCCCTGTTTTTTAATTATCTTCCTGTTTGCACATGGCATCTGACAGCACAGTGAAAAGAAATCGTGGAAGTCAACAAGAGTTAAACCCCTTCTTGTTGACATTGATTCTCCCAGGCTTATATCAATTATTGGAAAAAATCCTTTGCTTTGCGACTTCAATCTGCCCGCCTGTCACTGCAGCACACACAGGTCTTCTGCTTGGGGGGGAAAGTGGCCGATCATATCCGTGGAAGTTTGAAGCGGAAGACAGCGGAGTTCCCACTGTACTTAAAGAGTGGGCTTTTATGTTACTTACTTTTTTACTTCTCTCATACATTGCAGTACAAGGTAGGTTTTCGCCAGACCGCGTCTTGTCGTAACAGGCCATGAAGTTTTCTTCAAAAGATTATCAATTATAGTAGTTACAGAAATGGGTATGCTCCTTCTGCTTTGTTTGTACTAATACTATATTTATTGTTTCAGGATGGTGTTCAGAAATTGGGTGGTCAAGCAGATGATACCGAACTTCAGCGTTATTTTCAGGCGACAAGAAACCACCATGGTAAAACAAAGGCATAAAAAATTTCGCCCTTTAGGGCATAAATACTCTTTTACGCCCTTGCAAGGGCATAATTCATTTTATGCCCTTGGAAAGGGCGTAAATGGATAGGAATTCCAAGCAAAGTTTTTAAAGCCCTTCCCAAAGGCATTAACGATTTATGCCCTTTAAGGGCATAATTTTAAAGCCCCTTTTTTTCACCAGTGCATACGAAGAGCTCAATACGGAATATAAACGAGAAATTCAGCGTTGATGAAGTTTTTGGTCTTTTGATGATTTGAAAGGCTTCAACTTGTTTGAAAGGGGTTGACACCAAAGACTCGGTGCTGGATTATTTGGAAGCCCAAATGGGGATGGTCAGACCAGTGAAAGTTACTTTGGAATACGAAGAAATTATCAGAAATGGCGAGCCTATTAAGGTGGATGAAATTTTAATGAGAAAACAAAGATGTCTCTGGCTACTTCTCATGCAAAAACATTTGTGGTTGACGCTTTGATTCACACTGATACTGGAAATCCAGAAGCAGGCAAGCCTACTTGTATTTCACCACAAGTGGCGCATTACCTAGTTGCAGAAACTCCGATATGAACAAATGCAGGAACTTCTCAAACGGATTTCAGTAAGTTTGTTGGTAAATTTTTGGCTGAGCGATAGTGAAGCCTGTTACTCCAGTGCGGTTTAAAAGATTTTTCTGTCTGCCTGTGTGTGTGTGTGGGACTAATTTTTCAACGGCTCGGCCGATTTGGCTGAGATTTTGCAGGCCTATTAGGAATGTTCTTTGGGTCGGCACACGTGAAATTGCGCCATCCTAGCTCACGTGGTTCAGTTTCTATAGCCGAAAAAAACCTAAAAACGGCGAAAAATCAAGGTTTTTTCAGGCAGATCACTTCTGTCTTGAAGAAAGGGGGTCTGGGGGGGGGGGCCCCCAGTCTCGACAAGTTAAAAAGTCACAAGTGTCAGGATGGTGTTATCTGAAGATGAAAACAACTCTATCTAGAATAAAGGGGGGTCTAGGGGACGCAGCCCCCCAGCATGCAACAAGTTAGAAGAAGCGGACGATGGACACAAGCCATTGCCTGCCGAAGGCAGGTTTGCGCCGCAGGCCAAGGTAGGTGCATACGCCCGGCGTGGGTTGTCGAAACTGTCGCAGCATCGCGAAGCCTGTTACGACAAGGACACGGTCTGGCGTACACCTACCTTGTGGAAAGGGGTAAGTAAAATACAAAACTCACCAGGGGGTGGAGGGAGACGCTTATGTGAAGATGAATGAATCGGACATCTCGTAAATCATAATCGGTAGCCTGGGCCTGAACTGAAAATAAAATAAGAACAAGAATGCATTAAAATAAAACTAACACAAGAAAAAAAAAAGTCACCGGTAACGTGAAAACAGCTTTTGCTACAAAAAAATAGTTGGCTGAGCGATAGCGAAGCCCCTTACTCCTGTGGGGTTGAAAAGATTTTTCTGTCTGTGTGTGTAAAACTACTCCTGAACGACTCGGCCGATCTGGCTGAGATTTGGGGGGCTTATAAGGTTTGTTCTTGGCTCGGCACACGCGAAATTTCACTATCCTAGCTCACGTGGTTCAGTTTTTAAAGGCGAAAAACACCTATAAACGGCGAAAAATCGAGTTTTTTTGCAGGCAGATCACTTCTGTCTTAAAGAAAGGGGGGTCTGGGGTGGGGGGCGGAGCCCTTCAGCCCCGACAAGTTAAAAAGTTACAAGGGTCAACATCGTGTTATCTGTAGATGAAGCAACTTTATCTAGAATAAAGGGGGGTCCGCCCCCCAGCATGCAACAAGTAAGAAGTAACCGACGATGGACAAGCCAATGCCTACCGAAGGCAGGCTAGCGCCGCAGGCCAAGGGGCTGCCGAGTGAAGCTTGACTTTTGGCTGCAGCCGGCCGGCCAGCTATGCAGCCGCAGGCAGGAAGGCGTAGGTGGGAGTTGAATTCGTCGCCGTTTAAAGAAATCGCCGCAAATCAGGCGAACCACTATATTTTTGGAAAGAGGAAAGTCTAAGGAGCAAGTTTTTGTGAACCTTTCGTTATTTCAGAACTGATTATTGGAACGAAAAGCGTTTTGTTACCGCCTGCAAGTGTACCTGCGAATAGGGGTGCGCCGGGACTATTTGCACTGCTCGGATTAAACGCAGATATCAGTTCCAGACGAATTTCAGCATTTTTATGACGTGACTGACGGTAGGTTAGGTTATGTTAGTATTATTTCTTCGCTAATGAGCTGTACACATAAAATCTCTTTCCCAACTCACATACTTTAGAGCATCTGGTCTCACACAGGGCTCAATCAATGGAAGTTATTTTACAAACCAAGAATGAAAGTTGAATGAAAACGGTCAACAATTCACCAAAATACTGATTTAATAATCGTCACTTGTACATTCACATACTCAACTTCAACTTCGGCATCTATGAGGGCAGCTATGAAGTCCCTCCTTAGAATGCCACCTGCTTTTGCTTGGCGCAGTAATTGCCTTGCATCGATGTTCAATGGTACAGCATCTTCATGTATAGTATAGTATGTATAGTATCCCTCTGTAGTAAACTCAGATCTAACGTATTTCTATTGAGGCAACTATCACAGATTCTTGACAGAAGAACATTGCTACAAGCTTATTTTGCTTTTATCTATTCACATCTGTGTTACGGTATCATCGTCTGGGGTGGTGCTGCTAAGGTCCATACCAGTAAGGTATTCAGTATCCAGAAGGATGCTATTAGAATTCTACTCAACCTTCCTCCCATGCATACCTGCCGTAACTCTTTTATAAAGCTCAACCTACTCACTGCCCCTTCCATATACATCTATCTCACCATCCTCCATGTTAGTCTCTCCTCTTCAGTTCTCAAACTAAATAACAATGTCCATAGTTGTCAGACTAGATCCTGCCATGACATCTACTTGCCTCTGTTTAAAAGTAACATCTCTAGATGCAATCCCACCTACATGGGCTCTTATTACTTCAACAAATTACCAGAGCAAATTAAGTCAACCAGGGATAATAAAAATCTGTTTAAAAAATTACTGAAAAAGTACCTCATAAGTAGGGAACTCTATGATATTTCTGAATTCTAAATGTTGATTGTCTTTTATTTTTATTTTCATACTCTTATTGTTGACCCAGAATTGTGCATCTGCAAATGTATATGTACCCTTCTAAGAAATAAATACAATACAATACAATCTTCCTGTGGTAACCCCCTTAAAAGTCAGTACAGAAACATCAGTTTAGCGTGATGCAGAATACTCACTGGATAAGGTACTCCCTCCAAAATAAGGAAAGTGTGGAGTACAACACGTGCCATTATGTGGTCGAGGGCATAATCCAGACAGTAGGAAGGGAAGTATTTCAATCTCCTCCATTTACCCTTCAGGAGTGCTAAGGACCTTTCAATTGATGCACGGCATCGGGAAAGGACAAAGTTGTGTCTCCTTTGACGTCGGGTAAGATTACCAAGATTTCTGTATGGAATAATGAGCTGAAATACGACACACCCCACCCAAAAGGAATAAGATAACATTACAAACGTCTCACCAGAAATTGCAAGTATCTTTGACTGCATCCCTTACCTTGCTAGTCAGAGTGCACCCTCCATCACCAAGCAGGAACTTATCTCCTAGAAGAGATTCATTTCTGAGGATGTTTTGCCCGAGGGGACTTCTCTTAAAAGTCCGCTTGTCTCCTACACTCCCAGGCTCTCCGACATAAATGTCTCTAAAGAGAAGGTTGTGGTCGCACACACCTTGCAAGGTGATGGAATAATCGTGGTGACGATCTACCTACATATTGCTGCGGTTGTTCAATTGGTGCAGTAATATTAATAAAACATCCGTCTATACAACCACCGACCGATGGATATCCATACATCTCTTCAAATGTTCCAGAAATCACTTCCATCTCGAATCTTTTTGGCCACCGTACATAGACAGGGGCCATTTCTCTCAGAGCCTCGATATTTACATCTGTAGTGGAAGTGCACTGTTTGCTTTCAAATGAGCCCTGGCAGACCTCTGTATCTGGTGCCGATCTCCTGCAATATGGCCTCAAATATGTGCCATTTTGGCTCAAAATGGGTCAAATTGGCGATTCCTTTAATTTACAACGGGCTGTGGAGCGAAAACGAGGGCCATACCCCAGACTTTCGGCACTTGAACTTAAAAGTGGGGTCAGATACCTACTGATTGCACCCTCAAAAAGTCGATTTTTCGATTGGAAAACCCCCGCACCAAAGCCTCAAAAGTGCCTGAAAAATAAGCTCAAAATCACGATTAAGGATAGAAGGAGTTGAGCTACGGTCCTTCCGGGGGCATATTCTATTCGGATTCCTCTCGTCATTTTACCTGAAGATACCAAGGTTTGTCGGTCTAGAGTGAACGGTAGGGACAAGGGACCCATTTTTCACTTTTCATTGAAAAGTTTTGGAGGGGGGGGGCCTCCAGCAGCTCCTGGGCCATGACGCACAGAGCCCGAACAGACTCGTCCTCGCACGGATCTGCGCACTCATGGAACACCGGCGTCAACCAATTCTCCTTCTTCGGGCTCCTCCTCTGGGACCTCGAAAATTTCTAACTCAGGCCGCTCTTGTTGAAAGTAGTTAAATCGTACCGCCGGCACTGTAAGAAAAAAAGTCGTAACCATTCCTGTATAGTATTTTCTCACATTATATTCATAATTTTACGAATAATTTCACGACGAATCATTCATTTTTTTAATGAAACGCTCATTATTTTATGAATGCTTCGTTCGAATAATGAATAACTCATAAACATCAGAAAACGAATGTTTCATTCCCCACTTTTTACGTTACAGCATCACAAGCCATTCGTAATTTTACGAATGTTTCATAATGTTGTATGAATAATTCATAATTTTACGAATCATTCATATATTTATGAATGTTTCGTAGATTTTTGTACGAGCCATTCTTGTACAGTATTTTCCCATAGAAAAATCGTAAATTTAGGAATAATTAAGCGATGAATGGTTCATTATTTTA